AAATAATAGTCTCGCTACCTTAAGACGTTATAGTATAAAGTTATACCCCAGAATAGGAGTTCCACCCCTTGTTTCATGGTGAGGCCAAGAACTTATTGATCACCCCTAGTATATTTCATAGTAATTGTAGCGTTATTATATCTCAATAACTCGTAACACAAATCATTGAACCTTTAAATATGCATTAATATGAACAACAAAAATTACATAATCAAAAAAAGATTAAAAAAATGTTAACATACATTGTATATCTTTGGAAAAATGTTTTCCATGGCAGTGATTAAATGCACCAATTACGTTATTGTCAATTATTCTATACTATAGTTTCCATGGTTACTGTGTATTCACATCACATCAATGTGACTTGTTTCTTTGGTAACAGTGTTGTCACGTGAAATCTGTATTGTCTTTTAATTCACACCAAACAATTCCTTGATGCACTCAAAAACATTATAATTACTGTAGAATACTTTATTTTCGCTGAAGGGATGTTTCAGTATAAATAGGTTCCAGTGAATATACATTTTTTCGTATATTTCACATTCAACTCATCAAAAATCAGTGAAAATGAATTCCATTCAAAACACCTAAAAAGCCTTTCCAGCGGAAATTTATTTCCAGCTAAAATAAAGTATTTTACAGTATCTCAAATTCTGTTTGGCAACATTTTTCAGAATGAAAATTGAAAGACATGTTATGATTGGCCACATCTGCATGAAATGTACACATATGCTATTTCTAATCCTATTAAAATGCACAGTACTAGTACATTCCATCAAAACGAAAACCCTTGACACCACATCACATAACAAAACTTTTCAATCCGTTTTTTTTTTTATTAAATCCTGTTTTTCTGGGGTTTTATTTCCAGTTGATGGAAACATCAATTAACTTATTCTTGTAGATAACATAGCCAGCAACAGCGCCACCAACCAGTAGGGATGATACAAAGAAAGATACAAATCCACCAACAGAAGGGAGGTTTCTCTCAATGAAGGTATTCTTGAACGGATACGCTGGAACATCCTGTGAAAAAGTAGACATGTATAAATTACAGAGAGTCGTACAGCATACATTTCAATTTTGAGTATTTAAAACATATTGTACACATTGTATATGGAACTCAACGTCTGTGGTAACCCCATCCTTTAAAATACTTATAAAAATAGGTAAAAATGTGAAACAGACAAAACAACTCATGTCCTAGAAGCAAAATTTCTTTTTATATACAATTAATGGAATATTATTAAAATACCCTACTAACCTAACAAGTTCGTAATGATCAACATTTCGCTTGTACACTGTCGTTAATGATTAAAAGAGTCATCCAAAAAATGTGCACACTCACAATGTACAAAACACATGGCATTATGTGAATAGTGCATTTATTATATATTTTGTTAGATTCATATTTTTAAATTAATAATGAAACAAATATAAATATATATACCAGAGACTGTGGTTCATTCTGCCAGATTTCATCGGCGGATAGTTTGCCTATTGTATGTAGTACCTATGCAAGGTAGGAAACAAAATGGTGAGGATTGAAGTAACAAACCAATAAACACATGAAGTATAGATGAGCTCACTAAAGCTGTAACCAAGGATTTATAAGATGAGGATATGCAAGTGGATTGCCAAATGATCACATGAAAAATGTATACTTCTAAAAAAACTAATTTAAATGAGCGAGTATGTGAAAGAACCATGTGGTTATTCTTTGTTTTGACCTGATTTGCTACTCTTTACAAATATATTTGCAAAGCGTGTGTTATGTGTGTTTTGCATTTTTGAATATGTTAATGATCTTGCTCATTTCACCAAACCTTTCTAAGCACCCCCCCCCCCCCGAGTTCTTTCATCCCATTGGTTATAAATGCATTTAATTCACAGAACAGTAATTGCCTACCAGGTGCAAGAATTAGGCGTATGTAAATATCTTGTGCACGTGCTTGCTGTAAACTAAAAAAAAAAATGGCCACCATTGTAGAGTTTTAACACTAAGTAACCATTTATATTCTGCATGTTTTCAAATGAAATGTCTCACCTGTCTGGAGGCTCTTTCTCCAGCCTGGATCGCACCATCCATGTATCCAGACCATTCAGTTGCTGTCTCTGTACCGGCAAAATAAAGACGCCCAACTGGTTCACGAATTATCCTGAACAAGAGAAAAATATGGAATTTCATTGTCATATATTCCACACAATGATCTAAGACAACTGTGCAATTACTACCAAATAAGTGATTTTCCGTAATTCTACGAGATCTTGCATTATGCATGAGAGGTGAAAATTGAACATATGCTACAAAAATTCAATGATTTGTCTTTTAGAGGGAGGCATGATATTGTGATGCCCTTACCCCCCTCAAATTGCTCATTAAATGTGTATACCCTCGGTACTACATGATTAAACATGAAAATACTACCAAAAACGTTGAATCCCAGTTTTAATGCAACTAAGATGCTATGATCTTTGTTCTGTTTTTACATTCAATTTCACACATAACGTAGGATCCCACAGTGAACGGGAAATTGTCTAATATTTTACCAGAACACTATGCAAGATAGCAGTACAGCAGTCGTATTGACCACATTGTCTACAGTTATAAATAATCAGCCCCAAAAACATAAATACAAGTTGTTTACTATGACGCTAAAATTCGAATACATGCTGGTTACCATGACGTTAAACTTACTTTCCATATTTGGTCAGCTGACCCGGTGGAATAATCGCAGTATAACATCCTCCAGAGTACGGCTCTGTCATCCAACTTTTTTCAAGATAGTGGACAGGGTGAAGCGCTTCCTCGTTGTCATAAGCGATGGCAAGATATTCACACACCAAACGTTTTCTGACAAAACAAAGATATTATTCATTGCAAGTTTGCTTTCATTTTCACATTCCGTTTGTACTCTACAATTGCTGGAGTCGAAAATACATTTTTTAAGCATGTTATCGATGTTAATAATTTGCCAATGTTTTTTGTATTTGCTTGATTTATGTTACTTTCCCTGACGCGAGGTTTGAGTATTGTTGTAAGAACAGC